TGAGATTTGGTGGGATGGGTTTTTGACTAAAACAGAGTTTTGGGAAATTATATTTTGTTTTGTTCAAACACCTGATTTGAAGACACAGTGGACTGGCCCTCCATGTAAAGAGGGTCATTGACTTACAAATTAATGAATCTGGGGGTAAAGGGAGGTAGATAGAGATAAAAGACAAAAGGAGAATTATCTGGGCATCTATTTAATCTAGATATTAGTTGGATTTATTTATTTTGTTAAAGACAATTCATCTTACCTCTCAGAATAGGGAGAATTATTGATGCTGCAGGAACTACTGGGCCAGATTTTCAAGATACAAGTGGAAATGAGGTCTTTAGAAAAATGAATTTTTGAAGACTCTCACAGGAGGATGGGATGTGGGAAAAGGTTTTGTTTGCGTGGAGTTATATTTCTCAGGTTCCAATGTTCTATTACACTCAACCCAGTCCTGGAAGAAGGGCAGCTGGGAGTTCAGCAGTGTCAGAAACATGGCCAGTGTTATAACTGGGTGTGGTTCGGCATTGAGGCCAGATTAAAGTCTGTTAGTCCAGGTGTGCAGCCCAACAGGCAGCGCACCACAGGGCACAGGAGAGTGCAGCCCCCTGCAGCCGGAGTCCCCAGAAGGCCTGGTGCTGGGAGAGAGCCCTTACTTTGGAAGTTTATTTAGTTAGATTTTGAGCTCTTGCAGTGGCTATGCCCATCCTGGCCACTGACTCTCTGGCAGGTGTGATTGAAGGGCAAGCACTGGACACCTTCCCAGGTCACTCAGACCTTACTGGGCATAAACTGAATGGCCTCTCCAGTCCCAGTCCCCATCAATCAGCAGAGAGCAGACTCAAAAGTGTTGAATAAAGCTGTATCAGTGGCATAAAGGGAACTGAAGAACCTTGTTCTTTAGTTTGCCACTAAACTGTTCATGTCAGTCAGGTCAGGGTTTATGTGAAAATTGGCAATATGGAAATGGCTTTGTAATCTTTCATTCTGATATTTGATGCCAGGAGAACTCTGTAAACCTGGTAGGCCACTTTTGATCCTTTGCTGAGAGTTTTCTATCTACACTAAAATAATATAATGTCATCTCCAATTTTTAGATTTTATTATCTGGTGGTATATTCTTATCCATTACAAATTGAGATTAAGTATTCATAAGAAAAGAGGAAGCTTTATAATGTGAAGCAAAGACATCTAAATTATTGTATTAGTTTTATGTTCTGCAGTTACACTTAAAGATTTTAGATTCCTTATCAAAATTAAAATGAATCTTACTCAAGAGTTTATTAGCCGGTTTGAGAAAATGATATTGAAGTCATACATTCTGCCAGGATATTCCTACTTGAAAAGTATTGTATTTAAAATAATTTGTAGATGTGATTAAATATTGATTCACATATTCAGGATCATTAAAATCTGATTTATATATCAGGTCTTTTGAACATAGTCAATAGGGAAGGGAAGAATAGCTCTTGCTATGTAGTCACCATTATGAGAGGCATTTTCACATCCACAGTTCCATTGAGATCTCTGTCCCCAAGTGTAGGAAGATCCTGGATCCTGGACTTTCATCCTGAAAGCCTTGGGTGGAATAAAAGTTTTGCTTCTTAGTGATCACATGGTTTTTGTTTGAGTGCTTAATTTCTCCGAGCCTCTATTCTCATCCAAAAAAAAAAAAAGGAAAAGTAATAAACCTCTAAGGCAGATAGGAGGTTAAAAAAGGCAGATAGGAGGTTAAAATAAGCCAATATAGGTAAAGTGCTCAGCACAGTGCTTGCCAGAATGTGCCAGTGAATTTTAATCATGTGCTGAGCCTCTAGTTCATATATAAATGAAAAGATTTGAAGACAATTTTATGTAAGCCCACTTAATAAAAATATTAGAATGGGTGGATGTGAGTGGAGGGGGTCAATTTGAAAAATAAACAAAGGGGACATCTGTAATACTTTCAACAATAAAGAAAAAAATAGAATCAAAAGGGAAATGAGGTTTTTAAATCTTTTTATAAAAGGTTTTCAAATCTTTTTATAAAAGGATGAGTGGTCTTATCATGTAAACTTCAGCATTTGAAATGACCCCCTTTCTAAGCTCCTCCTGATTGACCCAGATTCTTCAGGGCTCATTTTAAGTCCCACCTCACTGTTAGTGTTTTCACATAATTCTTTATTTTTACCTTTCATTCTTTATTCTTTCCTTGTTTTGTTCTTTTATTCCCTATGACAACCAACCCTTCATATTCTGACCTTTTCAACCACACTTTCAAGAATGGTAACTACTTGGCAGATGCACTGTAATTTCCAAATTCAAATGTATCCAAATTCAAATTCAAACCTGGCATTCAAAAGCAGTCAATTGATTAGTTTTACTATCTGTCAGCTTTGAGCACCTATGGTGTGCCAGATTCTGCACTATACAGTAAGGATAGGAATGTAAGTAAGTCACTTCTATTCCCTGTCTCTGAGCGCTTCATTATCTAATGCAGTAGACCTGTAAGCTGATGATTGATGGGTTGACTGATAGATTCATTCATTCAGTAGACATTTACTGCATGCCTTCTATGTACCAGGCATTGTTCTTCTAGAGCATACAACTTGAATGATGGACCCACCCTCTGCCTTTTCTTCATCACATAATAAAATGAAGCTGGTTCATGGTTTGTCAGTCCAAAAAGCTTTTAAGCCAAGTCTGTGAAGGTGGATCCACGTAAGGTTTGTTCTGCATTTCAGGCATCATTGTGTGATAAGTGGTGCAGATTTAGTCCCTTTAAGCCCCAACTTCTGGGGGTTGAGTTCAAGCATTGGAACTTTATTTGAAAGGACTGTATTGATTGGGTTTTGATTTAGTCTTTCTTTACCAAATAGAGATACTAAATAATGGTTTGGCCTCTCTGGTAGGACTTTTTCTTTCTTTTTTTTTTTTCTTAAAAAATTCACTTTATAGGTCTCTCTCTCTCTGCCCCCATTTTCCACCTTCTATTTCAAGCTGTTCTGCTTAAAAAGATTAAAGTGGTATGAGAGAGGGAAGCAAAGGGAGAAGGAAAGTCAACTGTCTCACTGTGAATATAATTGATTCAATAAATAACGTCTTTCAATTCCCCAGGCAAACCTCAAAGTCTTTACTTATGTCAATTAGTGTTCCTCTCTGTAAGTGGTGGGTTCCTAATTTAGACGGATGGGGAGAGTTCACAGAGCTTGCTTCCTAAGGAAGGAGTGTGCGTTTCTGGCTTTAAAGACATAATGTCTTGATTTAGGTGACCACTCTGCAAAAAGAAGCTTGAAGCAGAATTAACGTGTCTGTTTTTCATCTTCTTGAAAATAGAAGGAAAACATTCAATTATTGTCCAGGGGTTTGTTGAAACAACAACAACAACAAAGGAAAATGGGGAGGAAAATCTGCTAGACTAGATGATACAGGGACTTTATCTTGTTTGTTCACCATTTATTGCCAGTGCACATAGTAGGTGCACAATAAATATTTGCTGGCTGGATTTCTTAAAAGAATGAGAGAAGAAAGGAGAACAATTCAGGTCTGAGATTAAATTTCATTTCAGGGTTGTTTTACCACCTGCCCCATCCCTCTCCTTTCCCCTCCTAAGTTTTTAAAAGGAGAGTAGCTCTCAAGTATAAGATTGTTGTATATACTGTATCTTCAGGCATGAATTTCATCAGTTTCCAGACCATCAAGAGTTGAAAGGAATCTTGGAAGTGATGTCAAGCTGCCATTTATAAATGCTGGTAAATGGACATGTTGTGTTTTAGAACCACGTGAGGTGTGTTATATATAAATCTGCAGATTCCAGGCCCCTACACTGGAAGTTGTGTCTGAGTCCGTCTGGATAGGCCTTGTCATCAGTATTTATATTTGTGGGTTCTTAGGGATTCCTGTGAGCATCTGGGTGTGATAGTACTATCTAGTCAGCCTTGCTATTTCCTGAGCTCTATGGTTTAAGTTTCTTCTCGGGAAAGGTGACTAGCCCAGGAGAATGATTGGCAGACAGTGACCCAGGTGTCCTGACTGATGGCAGTGCCCTTGGTCCTACAGTTTGCTGCTTTACTTACAGAGGAGAATGCCTGCATTCTTTCCTGCTCTATTACTTAATAGCTGTGTGAGTTGGGCAAATTACTTAAACCTCTTTGAGTTTCTGTTGCCTCACCAGTAAGATGGGGTAAGAATGGTACTTGCTCAGAGTTTGTGTGCATTAAACAAGGTGGCCTCGGTCAGCTGTCAGGACACACTGAGTGATGGAGATCTGGATGCAGAGGGTGATTGAAGAGGACCTTAGGGACAACTTGTGAGGAAAGCAGGATTAGGCTGCAGGTGACATTGAACTGTGACACAGTTGCAGTGAAGGTCTCAGCTGATCCCATGGGGAGCTGGAGATGAGATGCTCCTCAGAGTTGTCCCGAATTGAGGGAAGAGGGTCAGGCCTTTAGACCCCCGTATCCACCAGTCACTGGATGTGGGCTGTTCCTGGAGAGGGGACATGATCTCAGGGAAGGCAGCCCTTCGGCTGAGAGGTGGCTGTGTGCCATCAGCAGCCAACAGTGCTGGCAGATGGTAGGGAGGGAGGATGCCTGAGTGCCTGAGCGGATGTCCTCAGAGCACCCAGCACCCACTACCCAGGATAGTGCACATAAAACCTTAGTGATGAATGTAGAACCTTTGTGAGTATTCAATTAATAGTAACAATTGCCATTATTATTCCAGCTCTGGCAATGCCACATAGTAGCTGGGCCACTTTTAAGAAGTTAACTTCTCTGAACTGTCTTCTTATGTTTAAAATGGAGATCCTAAACTCCCTACTTCCCTGAGTAGTTCTGAGCACACATGGAGATAATGTATGTGAAATTGGTGAACAGATTAGAAAAATGCACGGCGCGACTGTGAGCTTATGTTTTGAAAATGAATATTGGCCCGTGACTTGGATTCCTTGAAGGGGGAGGGTTGTGTTCAATGTAAAAGCTCTCGTCTGTGAAATGTGGCATTTTGAATTTTCTTCCTTCTCTCTACAGGGAATTAGAATAATGGAGACGCTCCTGAAGGAGCAGTGTGGTGCCCCCTCAGCCGAGTAAAGAACCATCAGTGAGTACCAAAAGCCAAACCAGAATTGGATACTCAAGCCATGTGTTCATGCTTATAAGCTTGGTGGTATGCATCTGCCTCCTTGGGCTATTCATGCTGTACATTTCCCAGTTGTATGCACAGGGGATGATCTCACAGGTGTTTCATTATCTGTTCTGTATCTTTATTTACTTGGTTCTTTGATTTTCAGAGCACTTTTGTACTACGTGCTGGGTTACAACTGCACTCAGCGCAATTCAACATGATTACCACTCATAAGGTGGCATAGATTTGTAGAGACTGGAGCTCAGCATAAGCAGAAGCTTTAATTTTATTCTGAGTACAAGGAAAGGAGGGATTTAGAGTTTCGGAAAGGGACATCTTGACTGGCCAGTGAAATAAAGATTATTTACCAGTTATCAATTGGGGATGGCTGCCTGAAATGCTATGGAGAAAGACTCCGAGGCCTTGAAATAATTCTCAAGCTCCGGGTCAGAGTGTGTTGATTGATTAGCAATGTCTGTCACAGACACAGGATGGAAGAAAGAGCACTTTTGCAGGAGCACATGTCCCTTCTAGTTTAGGGCAAATAATGCAGGGTTAACAGATAGCAGGGGGATTTTAGAATTACATCAGGTCACCTTGTGGTGGTGGTTTAGCCTTTTTTAAAACGTAGCATTTGATCATGTCTTTCCTCTTTTCCAAAGTTAATAATGTGACAGCTTATGTTCTCTACATTAGCTCCTGACATCACCACTTGGGTGTTGTTAAGACATAAAAAAAATTAAAGTGAATACAACGGTGAAGTTAACATACCAGCTACGGCAATCATTAAAATTCTCATAAAGTTCCAAGGTACATAGTAGCATAGGCGTACAGGCATCCGTGTGGCAGGTAACATGGTGCTCTGCCGTGTGCTTCATTTACCAGTTTTGGACTTTTGCAATTTTTACATTTTAATAAAAACATTCTGTGGGGTTTGCAAAAATATACATAAAGAGACATTATTTTTATATTTCTACATGGTAAGGAGATATCTATATTAATAAAAGGGTAATATGCTAATTAGACCAGATAGACCGGAAGTCTTCTGGACATCCTTCCTGACAAAGCCAGGGTGGCAGGGCCAAGGCAGAGGTGGTTATGGGCGATCAGGCTGGCAGGGGAGAGTGATTAGGAGCTATCAGGCTTCAGGAGAGAGCAGTTAAGGGTGATCAGGCCAGCAGGGGTGCAGTTAGGGGCATCAGGCAGGCAGGCAGAGTGGTTAGGGGCAATCAGGCAGGCAGGCAGAATGGTTAGGGGTGATCAGGAAGGCAGGCAGGTGAGCAGTTAGGAGCCAGTGGTCCCAGATTGCGAGAGGGATGTCCTACTGGCAGTTTAGGCCCCATCCCCCGAGGAGTCCTAGATTGGAGAGTGTACAGGCTGGGCTGAGGGATCCCACCCCACCCCGTGCATGAATTTTATGCACCGGGCCTCTAGTTATTTAATATTTCTTTATGATGCCACATTTCAAATTTGCACAACTTACAAGCCTATTTTTGTTTTGTTTGTTCATTTACTTTGTTCTTAGATTCTACATATAAGAAAATCATATGGTATTTGTCTTTCTTTGTCAAAAATTTTGTTCACAATTTACATTCACATAGAAATATGACTACATTGTGTGTGGTACCTAGCCCTGAAGATACTCCCCAGCACCCTTTGGCTTATGTGTTCAAGTGGGCGTTGGGCAGTTAGAAAGCTTAGCAGGTGATTTTTCTCAAGAGCCAAACTGGAGGCTCATAAATCTCACTAACCAATATGCTTGTGGTGCTGCTGCTGACATGTCCATTGGATAGATTTTTGATTTCCTGTCATTTTTGAATAAAACAAATAGCCATGACATATATTTGTTCTTGCCTCTGGCAGTTGGGAGACCAGACATGGTGAGGTTCAATAACATAGCAGAATTTTTCACATCGGAATGATTAAGATCTCAGTTTCAGCTATATCTTTGAACTAGCTCCTTTAGGTGGTTGGACTTAATAAAACGAGATGCTTGCTCTGTTCCAAGGTCATTAGGAGGCAGAAATGCAATTTCTTCGAAAATTACCCGTAGTAATAGAACTCAAGTGACTCGTGTAAGAGTTGCTTGAGAAAAGAGGGCAAGTAAGTATTGATTGGTGAGACATGTTTATGAGGCGTTAAAGCCTGTTTGCTTTCTCTTGCAGGGGAGCTGTGTTGTGTCTACTTTTTGCTCGAGAATCACTTCTCGGACACAACATATCCAAGACTCAATTTTGGAAATGCAGGTTTAAGGATGCAGTATCGGCAGCTTGAAGAAGAGGAGACTTTCCTGCCAGGACCTGAAATGATACGCCTCCCTGGGAAGCCAGCCTCAATGGTGGCACTCATGGAGATAAGTCCTTCTAGCTGGATTTTTATGGCATAGACTCGTCACGATTTTGCAAATAAAAGGAAGACCCATAGAAGATGATGTTGCCCTTCTTGAGGATGTCCTGCAGATGCCTGGTGATGTGTTTGGGTAGCCAGGGATAGGCTTGAACACTGGTGTCTGTGCTTTTATATGATCTGTATCATTGCCCATAGGATTCATGAGAGGATTCTAGGACAAATAAAGGAATCAAACCTGATACCTGATTCACAGGTGGCCTGGAACTGACAGGAATATACCAGACCTGAGTTGAAGTGAAGGCACATCTATAGTTATGATGAAGATTCTCAGAAATTGGAGCATTGGCTTTAGACCCATGAGTACTATGCAATTGCCATCATTATCGCTTTTATAATGTAACATGTGAGCTGTGGTTTGGTTCGCTGAAAAAACCTTGGATGGAGAATGGGGAGGTTATTTGTGCATAATCTTGGCTCCTACTAGTTCATTCTGAGATGTGGAGCAGCCATAACCTCTCTGTTTTCACTGGGCAAGTGAGGATAATTGGACACAGATCTTAACTATTTACTACCTGTGGGTTGTGTTGATTGAACAAGGTATTTAGTGTGAAAATTACGGGTTTGGGAGTCAGAGACAGACCTTGGTTTGATTCCAAGCAATACCATGCACTAGCTCACTAGAACACAATTTTAAACCTTTACGAAGCTCAATTTTTTAAAATTTGTAAAATGGGATGATAGAATTAACTTCGTGAAGTTGTTGGACCAATTTGGATCACATATATATGAAGTGCCTAGCATTCCTGGTACATAGGAGAAGTCTATTAAATAGAAGCCATTCTTATTATACGAAACTATTTAGAAAATGTCCTTTTCAAATGTAATGTAAGTTAGTATTACTGTTTGAAAATTAGATGACAGTAGTTTGCATTTTCCATGATTGGAAGCCAAATTATAAATGGATACTACTAACTGAACGCTTGAAAAGAGGCAAAATTTGGAATTCATCTTAACATAAAAATTGGTCCATTAGTGGAAAGTAATAGGGAAATTGTTTTATTTTTTTAATATTTGAAATATCTCCTACTTAATGCACTGATGAATTTCAAAGCAATTGTATTCTTTTTATGCAAGCCTGCCACTGTGAGCCTCATCTTATTGTATTTGAACTATTTGTGCTGCCTAAGTTTTGTCTCAGGATAATTTCTTCTCGTTTCCTTAGTGTTTTGTTCTCTAATTGTGCTTGAAGGAAAATGAGTGGTAGAAACCAGAACACACTTTGACCTCCTTTTCCATTTTGTAAATGGCATTTTGTAGGCCTTTGTGATAATTGCCCACTTCCAAAAATAAGAGGTGATGTGAATTATCACAGAGGTCAGAGGCAAGAAATTTGTATTTGAAGACTGACAGTGAAATAAAGTTAACCCTTTATACTCAACATCTTGCATCCTTTGAAGGCAGGAGTTCTCAACCTTGGCTGTCCATTAGTCTCACCGGAGAAGCTTTGTGCAGTCCTGACGCCCTGGTTATAACCCCGATCAATAAATCAGAGTCTCTGGGCAAGCATCACTGTTTTTTAAAGCTCTCTAGGTGAATCCAATGGGCAGCTAAGGATGAGGATACTATGATTTGCAGATATCTGATTTCTTTCTTACCACCTCCAAAGTAGGAAAGGATCTTTGTAGTAAGAAATGAAAACAGTGAAGCACAGAGAAGCTGAATTGTTGCCTGAATTCCTTGAAGCTAGGGTGGCCAGTGCAAATGCCTGAAGCAGATCTGGCAGGTGATCTGATTGAGCCAGTGGTCGGCAAACTCATTAGTCAACTGAGCCAAATATCAACAGTACAATGATTGAAATTTCTTTTGAGAGCCAATTTTTTAAAACTTAAACTTCTCCTAATGCCACGTCTTCAAAATAGACTCGCTCAGGCCGTGTTATTTTGTGGAAGAGCCATACTCTAGGGGCCAAAGAGCTGCATGTGGCTTGCGAGCTGCAGTTTGAGCTATGAGTGAAGCAGGAGGTGGCCACTGGGGAAACCCTGCGAGCATGCGCCTGAAGCAAGGTGATCAGCGGTGGCCCGGCTCCAGCACAGTGCTGCCACGTGGCTGGTTTGGCTCCTTCTTCCAATTTTCAATCTTCCAGAAAAAGAGAGACTTAAGGAAAAAAAAAAAAAAAGAAATCTGATTTTTACACGTTGGTGTCAAATTCAAAGTTGTTTACAATGCTGTGCTGGCCAAACAAAATATGCTTGCTAGTAGTTTCCAGACTTTGCTTCAAGAATATAAAGGACCAGCCTAAACATCCCAGCCAGTGTTGAATATTTGCATCTCCCTATTCTGGGTGTAAGCTGCCTTCTGTCACTCCTCTAAGCCTGCTTTTAGTAGATATATCTCCCTCCATTTCCCCAGAACTCGCTGGACTTGTATCAGCCACTTTCCCCTCACTCTTCTTGTCTCCTATGGGCATCCGTTGCAGGCCTCACATCTACGGCTTAAGAAATCTTATGCTTTTAACAGAATTTATTAGGGCTTGTTAGAGTTCATTTTTATTATATGTCAGAATCCTTTTCCTGTGATGAAACATTTAGAAGCCCACATTTAATTTCATTTTTTTAAA